TCTCAGACACAGGGAAGCTAGTAGAGAAGACAACATTTGGTAAGAAACAAAATTGATGTGTTTTTTAAAAAAACAGACCACCAAACAAATAGCATTTTAACTGCAAAGCATTTAACCTGGTACGTTGCACAAAGATAAAAGGTATGCCTTAAATGCTTTCTAGTTTTTATTTGTACATGCAGCCCACGCGCAGTCCTGACATCACAGTCCGGTGCTAAATACAACCACAATATACAGAAGGCCGGTATGAGTCCTGATCACAGTGGTCGCTACTGGATTGGGTGGGACCCAGATCTCTCCATAAATCATACCTAGAGATAGCGGTTAGAAGCTTTCCTCGAATGAAACTCTTCAAACACCCGATAAGAGGAACTGGAGCCAACATCCCAAAATCAATTAAGCAGAATGATTCTTCCCTTTGTAGTCCAGCGCTGTGCTGCTCTGTGCATTACCACAGTACAGCCAGGAGAAGTGACTCTGCTAAAGCCACCTCGGCGGTTCCCATCGGCCCGTTTCGATGCGACTGCCTGCCAAAGGGACAGTAATACCCTGATGGCACATTTCAGACTGCTGTCTCTTTCCAGTTTCTGGATGGATAATTGAGCCTTTGTTTCTACCTTAATATTTGCAGATCATATCACAAGGGAGAAGCTGGAACGGATTCTCGCTGTCATTCAAGGAACAAATCATAAGGCCCTGCTGATGTACGTATCCAGTGGGGAAATGCAGCTGACCTGATCTGACTGCCATTTGCTGGTCTAAAACAAATGAGATGATTCTGTTTGCCATAATCAAAGTCTTTAAAGGTTGGAGTGCTAGACAGGAACAGAGAGGAGTTACTCCGAGTGCTCTGTACTCTGGTGAGAGGTTGCAGTTAAGTGTCCTTCTTGTATCCTGAAATCTCCAGCTACATTAGGACCTACAAAAATATCTTGTAGACATGACCAACTACCTCCCTCCCAAACTGCTACACTACTGACAGTATATATAGCATTAAAATGGATGCAAAGACTCAACACATAGCCAGTTTTAAGAATAAAAATTGCAGCTCTGCTTTATTGGGGGGGGACATATTTTGAATCCCATTGAAGAGAAGGACTAAGCGTCTGCTCTGCTCCTTTTTTTTCTTTTTCCAGGCATTCTAACATTGATATGAAAACACAAGAGGCATACGAGCTGGCTGTCAAAGGACTGATTCGCCCCATGGGAAAAAGCCCTCCGATAATCACAGCAATCCGATGCCTCCAGTTCGCACTTCCAGAATTCCAGCTAGGTAGGACTGGTACAAAAACTACTGGGGAAGTCTGAGTATATATTATGGCAAATAAGTCGGTAAACTTCAGTTTCTTATTCGTGATTTAATGCAAAATGAGTTGATGGGAATTTTGTATCAATTTGTAACTGGTAATCCCGGCAGAAAATGTAATGATTTGTAGTTTCCAAAGTCACAAAAGCATCTCCGTGTTAGATGAATTCTTTAGTGTGGTGGAAAGCTTTTTTGGTAGGGCAAGATCTGGAACCCTCACAGCACTGAAGCTGCTATAGTAAATCAAGCCAGCTTGTGCACCTAGATCACAGGTTTTTCCCTGCCAGTTCCACATCTAAGACCGAGGCAAAAAAATTTGCATAGTGAATACCTACGGGGCAAAATTCTTCCTTATTCCAATGTTTCAGTGTAATGCAGTTCAGTGTGGTTGGGTTGGGTTTGTTTTTTTCTTTTAAAGCGTGGTTTGCTTTCCTGCAACCAGTCTCCTACTCCTCACAAATTGTCTCATTAAAAAGCTACCTTTTCTTATCACCCTTTGAAATACCTAAATTTCTACATTACTCCCCTGTATCTATGGGTTTGTTTTCTAAAACATTCACTTTGGGAGGTGCTAGGACACCCTGCAGTATTCCAGAAAATCATAATCCACCCGTGCTGTATCTTAAATAGTCTCTTCTACCAAACCAGTTCTTTCAGTGTGCTGTATCTTAGTCTCTTCTACCAAACCAGTTCTTTCAGCATAAGTGTGAGCGATGTCTGGATTTACAGACAAGGTCTGCGTTTGCGTCAATGCTTTGTTTCTTCTGACGGACTCTCTCTGTCCTTCTAGAAATCCATTGCTTGCATGAGACTCAGCAGTACCTCCGAAAAATAGTTCATGAGGTTGGTCTGGAGCTGAAATCATCTGCCGTGTGCACACAAGTGCGAAGAATACGCGATGGTGTTTTCACACTGGATGATGCCCTTCTGAGAACCCAGTGGAACCTGCAGAGTATACAGAACGCAATTTGGGACTGTCAGCTTAAAGTGAAAACAGAGTTAGAGAAAACACTAGGCCATCAGGATGAAAGTCGTCTTCATGAGACGGACGCTGCGATGGCCCACGCTGCAGACAGCTGAGTGTGTGCTACGGAGGGAACGTCCACAGGCAATCTCTGTAGCACAATAACGCAGCTACATGCTGACAGCATGATGGACAGCAGAAGGAAAGAGGTTAATTGCAGTTCACTTCCACCCTTTCCTTGAGATGACTTTAATCAGAGAGGCATTTTTTTCAGTGACAGGCTGTATAATTTTTTTAAAAGCATCGCAAACAGTTCATTAACAGGAGTTAGCTGTGCCAAAATTCCTGTTGACTTTGGGAACATTAGGTTGCTAAGGGATATAAAAGCCCATCCCCAAATTGTTTAGCAGCAGGAAATACAGTGTCTTACAGAGATGTATTCCCTTGATTGCACGGATTTGTTTGTTCCTTGCAACTGGCAGCATAACTTATCTACTATATGGATTTTATTTTCCCTCTGTTGTCCTAGAGTATTTTCTTTCCATTAGCCCTGCTTTCAGACACGTAAGAGCTCAAAATCAGACTAAAAGAGGGACGCGCAGGAGAAAACACAGCTTGCACAGAGCAATGCAAGGAAATGGTTATATCCAGAGTAGGTATGTGTGATGAGGAAAGAGGCTTGTAATAGGGACTGATGCATAAGGTGATACACAAGAAATAAAACTGAAAGTGACCTAAAGGGGAAGAGGCTGTTTCTTGGCTCAGTACTCATCTGTGAGTATGCTGACTCACTAAAAAAAGCATGCTGCTTTTTTTTAATCCCCCCTCCCGAGGAACCAAGGATGTTGAGGGGGTCTCTGGTATCCTGCTCTGCAGCAGCTCCATGCAGACAGCATGTACTGCCCTTCAGTGAAACTCTGTAAGCTCTGTAATACCACTTGTTATCTGTTAGCTCATTATAGCTGGGTCTGACTTGGCAGAAATACACTTTCTAAATTTAAATTAAAAATCTGAAGTTACGCTTGCCGTTCTTACACTCAGTATTTTTCCAGCTATACACATTGTTAGAGAGTTTGGAGATTTACTTACAGAAATCAGTAGAAGAGATTTGTTCTGTTCCTCCTCTGGATTTGGACAAAGGCCAGCACCTTGTATCCTCCAGACAGCTGTTAAGGTACAAGAAGTAACTCTGGGAGGAGCAGCAAGAGGGGCTGTGATGAAGTACCTAAGTGGCAGAGTTCAGCCCTGTCCTGAAGCACCCCAGGAGTCATTAACTTAAACCCTGGAATCTTTCAGTTGACCTGGGTTTCCCTGCGCTGCACGGAGCAGCCGGAACAGCAGCGGAGCGGAGCTGCCACCACGTGGCACGTCACCGTGCCAGCTGCGGAGCCGCAGGGACTCCCCAAGGGCAGTTTGCTCCTACCTCGGCCGGTTGGTTCTGCGTGCGTTCATCCTCCGTGGACAAGAGGCTGGGGTCAGGGCACCTTCCTCGGACAACTGTCTTGCGCTAACTGAAGTGTAAACCCGTCGCCACGGAAGCATGAGTTCTGGAGCCGGGCAGAACACTTGCATGGCTGCAGCTGCAAGTTTTAATACCAGTGCTCCTACAAGGAGGAGAAGAAAACGGGGACTTCTCAGCCCTTAAATAACCTTCAGTAACTTTGGTAACGGAGTATACTTCATCCCGTGTGGCTTACGCCTAACACAAACTGAAGGAATTTCTGTACATCCCATTGCAAAAAACATTTCCAGCTGCTTGTGCCATTGCCAGACTAACATTTTGGTTGGAACGCTCCAGGCTAAACCAGCTCTTTCACACAGAAAATACCAGCCAAAACAGCAACGTGGGTTTTGAGAACAAAGTTAGCATTTCCCAGTTCTAGTCTTCTTGTGACTTTTTTCCTCCCCTTAAAACTACTCCAAAACACAGGAGATTTCCACACTTGGCAAGAGGGGTTTATGGTGGGGAGGCTATACCTGTAACTATACCCATGAGAGTCCATTCTTACATGGCCGCAGTAAATACCCTCCAGAGAAGCACAGCTGCACGTTAGCAGAGACTTGCTTGAATGAATCACAGAATACACAGGCTTTGCCTGTCCCCCGTCTTCAGACCCCTCCCCGCAGCTTTTGTGGCAAAACAAGATACTTATTAGTGATGCTTCTGTGCCAGGTCCAGAACCAAGAGCGCAGAAACGATTATCTGTTCTCAGCAGCAGCCTTGTGACCGTTTTCTGGTTTCCAAGCGCTACGAGGACAGAGTCATTTGATTCAAATTTGGAAATAACGAGCAGACTGCAGCATGGGCCTGACTGGAGACCAGGGGGGAAACTTACTGGCAAGAAGGTCTTAGAAGTAGAAATGGGCAGAAGGACATCAAGCTTGAGTGAAAAAGGGACAATGGATCTGCAGTCAGCAGAGCACTTTATCACTTAGAACTGCACAAAGCAGCCAAATTTAGTCTGTACAGTCACCCTCAATCCTAACACCTGACTTTGAAACATTCATGCTCTCAACATAATTTTGTGTTTAGGACACTCACAGTGACTCTGCGTTCAGAAGAGAGTAAAGGTAATTCTGCACCTACCCATTACTTGGTAGTGCTGCCACACTGCCTCCATAAAAGCCTTCAGAGAACATTTGAATAATAGAAGTTATAGTTACCTCAGAATATAGTTTAAGAATTTGTTCCCAGGTTCGTGCAATGTTTTATAGGCTTTTAAAGTGAATCACTGAGAAATGCAATAGCTGCTTTATTCAGACTGGACAGTTCAACACAACTTCACATTTTGTCATTTACTGCAGAAATGATACAAAACCTCTAGATACCAGAGCAGTTAAGTACAAAAACGCAGAACATCCAGACTTACCCAGATTTGATCATAAAACAAAACAAAACCCCCAAACCACCACAACTTCAGCCTTCTTCCCTCCTTACTCCTGAGGGTTTTTTCTTTTCTTTCAAAGCAGCTATTACACTGCACATTTGTACGCCTGCGCTTCCTCTATCCATTCAGTAGTAGCTGCTTCCACCTGCAGATTAGTGTATCCAAATAGCCCCTGGATGTTGTAGAGAAGCAAAGGCTCGATGGAAAGAGTCTTAATGTCAACCTGAATTAAAACCTTTCCAATAAAAAATAAAAAAACCTGTTGATCAGGTAGTAGACAAAATTATCCACAGTCCTACGTCCCTTTCCCACAAGCAGGAAACAGCTGACAGATTCAACAACTTTCATGTTCCAAAGCTTCTTAGAAATAAGGCTGTTAACCCACACTCTGTTGCAATACATACTTCCGAGGCCACCTTGTATCACTTCTAAACCGATATGACACCAAAACGTAACGGCCTGGTAACAGTCATTTTTGCAGGACGTGGCAGTCTTCAGGTTCAGTACTAGTCGCTTAGGTCCAGGTCGTATTCAGGGTAGAGCTGCTTTGTAGTAACCCCTCGGATAACAGCTAGAAAAGAAAGAAATACCATTGCTTTCATTAAACAAAGATCAGATCAGTCAGAAAAGTTGCGTTTTCCTCCCAGTGGCCCCTAACTATCCCATAGAGCCTCCCATAGCCGAGAAACCAAGCTAAGGTTTTGCAGCTATGCTCCCCACTTGTCTCAACACTTTTCTTTTTTTAAGCATATGAAGAACAAAACTGACAAAAATTAGTAAGACTTATCAAATGTTGGTAATCCATAACACAGACTAAAATACCAGTACATGACAATTATTTCACACGTTCAGCTCTACAAACATTCCAAGAAAATAACGACAGAAGCGTCTGTGCTTGCACAAGTGATTGGTAATACAAGCCCAGAATGGAACAATCTTTAAAACAAGCTCTGCCTTCATGGCGTAGTAGCTTCTCTCTCTCTGTCTATATGAAAACATTGACTAAGAAGTTCTTCAACAGCTTTCCCCTTCCTTACCCAGCTTGCCCAGCAGCATCTGTCCAGCATCTTTAATATCATTATACTCATGGAGCAGAGAGATGTGCTTCTCCAGTTCCTCCAGGCTGTAGCCTCTGTAACAATAAAACCAGAAAGGTCAAAAATGACACAGAGGGATTGCTGCTGCTGCTGCTGCTGCATAGCGAGTTCTGCCACCACCGACCAAGCACAGCGAGGATATTTGAGATACCCAAGCCTGGCACATCAAAAGTGGAATCTGAAGGCAGCAAGTACAGTTGCTGCAAGTCAAGATGAAAGCTGCAAATGAGCAGATCCTCATTTTGAGTTTTTTTGCCACGTCAAGACTTATCAAAAAACCAATCCACCCGAATTCTCAGAATCAAGTAGAAACAGGAATAGGCTGTGGTGAATTCAATTTATATGTATCTCTAATCTACAGAAAAAAAAATTAAGAGGGTCTGTTTATCCTTAAGGATAAAACAAAAAAGCTTTTGGAACAGCCTTTGTTGTTCTACCATTTCCATTCTATGCACTACACGTTATCTTAGAAAATATCACTCCTTCGCAATGAATAATCCACAGAGATTCCCTCTCTTTAAAAATCAAGCAGCAATTTTATCTCAAAACAGTTGCCAATAAGCAGCTGCCACAGTGTGTCATAAGAAACCACAATAAAACAGTTGCACTACCCTGGATGTGGCACCCGTCATGCCAAAGTGTTCTACAGGTGTGCTGGTTTGGCTGGGGTAAAAATCAAGCAGCAATTTTATCTCAAAACAGTTGCCAATAAGCAGCTGCCACAGTGTGTCATAAGAAACCACAATAAAACAGTTGCACTACCCTGGATGTGGCACCCGTCATGCCAAAGTGTTCTACAGGTGTGCTGGTTTGGCTGGGGTAGAGTTAATTTTCTTCACAGTAGCTGGTATGGGGCTGTGTTTTGGATTTGTGCTGGAAACAGTGTTAATAACACAGAGATGTTTCTGTTATTGCTGAGCAGTGCTGACACAGAGTCAAGGCCTTTTCTGCTTCTCACACCACCCCACCAGCGAG